GAGATACGTGGTAAGAAATTTGAATTTCAATACAACTGCACATTGGCGTTCCTATGAATTATACTGATGCAAACTTAGCTCGCTTGTGTATGCAGGCATCATAGTTGACAAGTCTGTCCAACGAAGCAGTCGTGCGACTTCACGAGACCAGACAGGAGCCGCACGACATTCTACATGTCTTCGTCGATGTATGTTCTATTCTCAAAGCCATGACAGTTGTTAAATGGTTCACATGACTCATTCATCCATGTTTGCTCGAGCACTATGCCGACACAAGCAGGTTCCTCCGACACGATGGTTTGTGGGACCTCTTATGTTTGTACTCCCGGCAATCGCGGCAAGGGTCCTGCGGAGCACGACGTTGAGGAGGACGAGGATAAGGAGGATGAGGACGAGAACGAGGAGGAGGACTACGATGAGATTGGGATGTCTCAACTTGGTGATGCACCATTTCTTACATAGTTCGACGCACAGGTACTTGAAACAACCCTTCGCCATATATGTTACAGTTACTTAAACATGGTAAGTAACGATGCCTATATTGTAATTGCAGGGTCCTAGTTATACTTAGCAGTACCGCCGGGTGTACCACCAGCGAGACCATACCAACGTTGGGTTCACCCCTAACGTGCTGCCTTCACATTCGAAGAGGCAGCGACGTCCGTAGTACCCATATACTCCTGGGTCATAGGAGTTCTTTAGGATGACATGATGCACTTGTACTCGGACATCCATATACTGATGGAACATGTAGTATGTCGAGTAATGTCGAACTTATGTATTGATGAACTTGTGTCGGAGTTATGACTTGCTGAACTTATATTGAACAGTGGTATTATTGAACTTGCGATGAACTTAGGACGCGTACAAGTTAGTATTGCTGAACTTGTGTATTGATTGTCTTGTGCACTTATCCTTCCTGTTGACCTATTCGTTAAACCGACATGATGACATAACAGAAGTGCTTTGTTCCTTTTGCTGCCGCTTTGAGTGCCGCACCATGGCTGGGAGCGCGTCAGCATTGCCGCGCTATGGCTGCTAGCACGTCAGCCTTGCCGCGTCGTGGCTGCTGGCGCGGCAAACCCATGCTGGGCGCTGGCCAGACTCCCTTCTGAGCGCATCAGCAGCAGCATTGTAATACCATTTTTCATGGCGAAAGTTTTATGAGATAACACAATGTCATTTACAAAAAATAAACAGTGTTTGTTACATTGTTACAATATATAAATAGTTCAAATAAAACACAATGCAGCACCGAGAAAGTTCTACTACGATACAAGTACCAAATCTAAAACATTGAACTAGCACACCTGTACCAATCCTCAGTCTGAAACATACTGAGTAAGCAACTTGTCATCCGAATACCAGTCCTCTACCACAACCTCATTGTTGTGGCTAGGCACACCTGCATTGCCCTGATTTGCCTGTCGCCTGTAGTAAGCTGCCTCCGCTTCACCTGCGGCCTCTGCGGCCTGAGTCAAGAACGCGTCCTCCTTCGTCTGGCTCATGTGGCTAGGCTCACCTACATTGCCTTGATCTGTCTGTCGCCTGTAGTAAGCGGCCTCCGCTTCATCTGCGGCCTCTGCGGCCTGAGTGAAGAACGCGTCGTCATCCTTCTCAATCTACAAGCCCGCCTCTACTAGAGCGAGTCTGCCAATGTCGTCCTCAGCCTCCTCTGCCTGTAAGTCCGCCTCTGCTAGAGCGATGAGCTCGCTCAGTTTACTAGTGTCGTCCTTAGCCTCCTCCGCCTGCAAGCCTGCCTCAGCAAGAGCGATGAGATCGCTCAACCTGGCAGTGTCATCCTCATCATCGCCCCCCTCATCAGACAACATAATTGGAGATTGATCGATACGATCAGCTCGCGTTCTGTGCTCATGTAACTTCTTTTCCTCAAATCTTGCACGGGCCACCTCTGCGACATGGTCCTCGCTACATCCAATCTCTTCATGTATGAAATACAACTAGTTAGCAATGCGATTATATTACATTTAAAAGCAGGCAATGAAAATAACAAGGCTTCCAATGACTCACTAGCACACAATGCAACAACATGGTCGTTCAAGACCTACATCTGTACTCTTTCCTCCTCCCTTGTCTCCTTCCTTGCCCTCTCCTCCTCTAACGTCCTCCGTATCTCCAATCCCCATTTGTCGAGCCCAACATCGATCGGGTTACGAATACCCCGCTGTCTAGCAAACTCACGCATTTTGTTTTTGTGATGTTTAACGAATTGGTTGACGTAGTCAGGTCCATATCCCCCCTTTCGTGCAATTACTTGCCTCCCCTTCAGTTCATCCAAGAACTTAGCTTGACCATCATAACATTCCCACCTGTATTTTGTAGTGCTTGGTTCAAACAAAAAAATTATATCATATATGTCTTACCAAAAGAAACAAAATACTATTTTATGTTACCACAAAAATAACCAACCTCATCATAGCAATGATGGCCTATTCCAAGCTCCAAAGGGACTAGACCGTAGTTGGATTCAACACCGCATTCGCACTTGACTGGAGGTGCTTTGTAAATTAACCTTTCTTTCTTCTTTTCCTTTGCCTTTGGTGGCTCCGGCCATTGATTCTTAGGACCGTAGAGCTACTCATTGAAACGACACTTCACAAATCCATAACGCTACAAGAGAATACATTAGTACACGCACACATATAGAGCTAAACATTTAAACATATACACTTTTCACTTACTTCGGGTTTGTTCGGACACACAAACTCCAACGTATTCTCAGGGTTTATCATAGCTCGATCTCCGCATTCACACAGAGGAGGTTCCTCGAGTCGTCGAACTACGGCTAGGTGCTTCTCCTTAGCCGTCATTAGAGGGGGGTTAGGGGGGTGGAACCCACCGCTGAAAGTGCTCACGTGGATGTCTTCCTCTACATCAATTGGCGAAAAGGAGGTACCTAGGGTCAAACTTGTCTGCACCGTCGATCCACTGAAAGAAAAAGCACCTCTCATGGTCCTACAAAACAAGATTCCAACAAAATATTAGTAACCTACATACATAAATAAAGAAAAAAAGATAGTGGAAACAATTACTTATATTAAAACGACTGCATGTGTAGAAGCAACGCGCCGCTGTGTCTGGATGTCTCGATTGAAACACGTCGGCCAGGAAATCACAGTCACAGTTAGGAACAGGGAGGTCAGGAGGGACGGGGGCATCTTTGCTAGACACGTCGGGGTATAATTCTTGAGGACGACCCCGTTTTCGCCAAAACTCCTCCCGATACATTTCTTGTATCTAACAAAACGGTTGTAATTTAACAAACAAAAATCAAAACATCACAAATTAATGTCAATGAGAACCATTTACATTACAACAAATAAAATATAACCTACACTTTGGTGCAAACGGTATCTTAGATGCAAACATGAAAACTATATAAAAACTATACTTTGGTCAATAAAAAATAAAATTTGGTACATCAACAGTGTGTCCATATATTTATTCACATATAAAAGTTGAGATGCAAACTCAAACAAGCAAAATACATGGTAATCATAATTCTAACTAACCAATTAACCTTAGCATTGGCAATCCTAATCATAACCCTTCAATCCAACGTTCTAACAAACTCATATTTTTCTCCATACCCTAACTACTCATTCAAATCATTCGATCCATTGTGGAGGTCGAGAAGGAGCTTCATTACCTTGACAATGCTGAGGAGGAGCTTCGGGGAAGGTAGGGAGAGAAACGATAAGGGAGGAAAATTCAGCGGCCGGCCATGGGAGAGCCAGGAGGCAATGGCGCGGTGGTGCGGGCTAGGAAGCGCGGCGGCGGGGGCTGGGCGGCACGGAGGCGGTTGCTGGGCGGCGCGGAGTGAAATAGAGAGGGAGGAAAGGGGCTGGGCCGCGGGCCTCTATTTGGCTCTACCGCGCCCTGATGGGTGGCGCGTCACAGCCGCGCCCTGATCGGTGGCGCGGCAGAGCTGGGTCACGTCACCGGTCAGCGGCCTTGGTCGCTGCCACGTTGACAGCCTCACCGCGCCCCATGCATGGCACGACAGCTTGAATTCGTCGCACCGTGCGAATAGGCGCGGCCAAAAATGTTAGATTTAAAAAAAAAATAAACAGTGTCAGTTTTAAAAATAGTTTAAAAAAGTGTTAAAAATAAAAAAAATTCCCCATGACACTTCCCCGCGTGATGTGTCACCCTCACCGCGTGTCCGCCTCCGGCACCCCGCTCAGGGTGTTTAGATGGGGACTAAACTTTAGCCCCGTCGATGTTTAATGCTAATTAGAATTATTAAATATAGGTTAATTGTAAAAATAATTACATGAAGAGGCTAATTTGTGAGACGAATCTATTAAACCTAATTAGTTAATGATTTGATAATATAGTGTTACAGTTAACATATACTAATGATGGATTAATTAGGTTTAATAAATTCGTCTCGCGAATTAGTCACGTCTTATATAAATAATTTTTATAATTACCTCATATTTAGTCTTCTTAATTGACATCCAAATATTCGATGAAACATCCCTAGATCCAAACACAAAATGATTCCTTTGAACGGCACCCAAGATGCCCCTATGGTGTGCGAGACGTCCTTTTGGGGCGTGATTGGTTCCATGACGAGGAGAGCTTGGCTTGCTTCTCCCAGCCAGGCCAAGGGATGTTTGGTTGAGTGCATAAGTACGTACAGTACGAGTGCGGGCGGGGAGAGAGAGTCCGCGAGACCGGGTCCACCGTGCGGGCGAGCGATGGGAGTGTGGGAAGGGCCGGGTGGACGAGCGAAGGAGCGCCGGTGGGCCCGATACGGAGGGAATAGTTGTGTCGCAGGTAGAGAGAAATCAATAAAAATAGAGAGAAATCAATAAATTTTTTTCCTCTATAAATACCCTGGTACAATCTGCCTGACTCAGTGCCTCCCCGCGCCGCCTTCGTCCAATCGTCCTCCACCCCGCCGCCCGTCATCACTCGATGGAAGATAGTAATATCATGCTGAGCGCGGCGGCAGGAGCAGCGCAAGCTACATGCGGAGGAGGAGGCCCCCGGCGGCGCCTGCTGCTGCAGGTGAGGGGCGCTGACGATTAGGCTCTGTTCGGCTTATCCTATATTCGACTTGTTCGGTTTCTTTTTTCAACCGGAACAGTATTTTTCTCTCACAACCATTCAGCCGGAACAGTGTTTTTAGCCAGCAGACTAACGAACGGGGCCACGTCGGGCCTCTTGCAGTGGTCATTTCAGCTTCTGCGTGCATCACTGGTCTGAGGCCCCCCGTGTACACGCCCGCGTTGACAGCGGCCGTGCTCGCCGGCGTCGTCACCCTCTTCGTCGGGCTGTGGCTGAGCACGGTGGGCCGCCGTGGCGGCCGCGGTAATTTTGCCTTCGTCAACCTGTGCTTGTCCTTCCTCGCCCTCGTCGTGGCTGTTGCACTTGGGGGCGACTTCGATCCGGACCTGCTCCTGAAGCTCTACGGCGCTTTAATTTAACCGCCAGCTTGAGGTGAGTTTAGTAGGTCCTTTCTCAATTCTTGCACACCGTGCCGTCGCTCAGACCGGCACCATCGCAGCTCTAGTTGCACCTCTCTTACCCAGTGGGCAGGGCAGGCAGGCAACCTGGACCTATGCATGCACTCTAGCTTCATTCCCCTCCCCGCCGATCCCAATCGAGACCAAATGGCCACTTGGATAACCGGAGAACCACCCCTCTCTGCATGCCCACCGTCTATTAGTCTGTTTAACTTGAACAAAATTCGAAAAATTCGTCGCAACTAAGTTGACCAGTCAAAATTGAATAGACAGCAGCATGCAGGTCTCATAGCACGAATCTGTTTCAATTTCAATCACGGGCCGAATCCCAAATTTTGTTTTAATTTAATTTGCAGGAGTGAATGGCGGTGGAGCGGAGGGAGAGGACGACGACGATCCATGGACCTGCAGGTTCCGCGTGTTGGAGAGCGCGGACCTGCATCATATCGGCCTTCAATTTTTACAATTATATGTCCTGAACTCGTCCGGAATAATACTTCGGTTTGTTTTTTTACGAAGTGAACGAGACTAATATCCTGTGCGTGACTAATACTATAATACTGTACTACTTGAGTTGTAGTAATTTTGCTACTACGATACTAGTAGTACTTTTTTGTTACTAGAATAATATTATATAGGCTATAAAGGAAAGTCGCTTTCACCCTTTGAGTCGTCCTACAAGCAATCGTCATCATAACGATGTTTCGAGCTTTTTTACGTATTGTACTGCACTTTTATATTGGAATTATTCCAAATTGTCCAAAGTATATGTGTGTTATCTATTTCTTGTTCAGATATTACGTGTGTGTTGTTATTGAACTTGTTCGCTGGTTAGTTTCTAGCTCGGTTGGTGCTAGTTTGTTGTAAGAGAAAAATACCGTTGACTGACTGATAAGCTCTGACTGAAATCAACAAGCGAACAGACTAATTGCTGGTTCAGATACATATTTGTCCCATCCCTACCGTGCTAATAATTTAATAATTACTACAGATTGCCGAAGTCCACGATGATCTTAATCCGTTGAAAAAAATGCTGACAAATCAACACTCTATTCATTTGGCTTATAAGCCATACTTTTTTAGCTAGTGTTTTTCTCTCACAGCAAATTAGCCAAAAGTACTTTTAGCCAAGCGAACGGGGCATTATACGGGTATGCTGTGGCACAGAATGGCATTGACCGCGCACGAGGCCGTCCAATTCCAACGGACGCTTCCAGGTTGCGTCTGCCGCCGGTCACACTAGTCGACCTTTATCTTTGCTTTGATGAAGAACCCTGTGTGAACTGGAATAACGGCGAAAAGGGATTCCATTCCATCTCGTTTTAGCGTGGTTATAGTTGCCTGCGGACGGAGAGGGTCGGTCGGTGGCCGTGGCGTGGCGTGGGCTCCGTGTTCAATGGAGATGGCCTGATGGGGCGACCGGCGACGTCCTCGCCGACGTCAACGTTTTAGCGGCGGCGTGGGCTCGGTCGGGACTCGGGACAGAGAGAGAGAGAAAAAAGGCCACCGTGGCCGCGTCCAAGGCCAGCCCAGTGGGACAGGCATCATTTGCAGCCGGGCCGGTACGGTGTTAGCGGCGGGCCGGCTCGCCATCGCCATTGACGAGACGGGAATGGCCACAGCCCACGAGTCATCCTGCCGGCCCAGCACCGTAAGCGAACCGGTTGTCCCGTGCCCGTTCCCGTTCCAACCAACCCACCTCCGCTGCGCACCTACCAGCTACCACCGTGTCCGCTCGGCGTCACGTCACCAGTCAGTCACGACGGCTCTGAAATCTCAGGCACCAGCGGACCAGACCAAACCCCGCCCGCGAATCTAAAGCCAAACCAACCGCGAATCCACGGGAGGGGAAGGGCGCGGGGGCATGGAGTTCCTGCACGGGCAGAGGCTGGAGACGGCGGTGGCCGTCGTCGCCGTCGCCGCCGTCGCCGCCTACCTCTTCATCCGCAGTAGGAAGCCCAGGGGTGAGCCATATGCCCTTCCCGTCAACAGTAACCCGCGCGTGTCCGGAACCCTTGTTATGGCTGTCACTCGTCTCTCCTTTGGACACTAGTCACTAGAATGTATCTCTGGCTCTGAATCCTTCCGCGCTGGTGTCCTGCTGAGCTCAAAGAATTTGTGATTGTGCTGGTCCATTGATTCATCTTTCTGTAATGCTAATAATTGGATTTAGTTGTGTTGATGCCTCTGAACACTAGTGTCAGTAAAATTACATGATTCGCCAAAGCTGAACATTCAGAGATAAGTTCCTTGCTAGGCCAAGGGCCAAGGCCATCTAGTTGACATGCTTCTTTGGATTCTGAAACATTTGGGAACTGGCCCTACCACCGTGATTATGTTCTTGCTACTTGGTACTTTGTGTATGCATGTATCGTTCTACTTATTTTAAGTGACCTACTACTTTTGAAGCTAGCATCTCGTTCTTTTTTAGGAACATGGAGCTCACAGCCTAGTCCCATTTTTCTCCTTGTAGCTCATTTGTGTTGGTTGTGCTGTGATCTGTTCTGTAGGCTGCCTGGACCCCCAGAATTTCAAGGAGTTTAAACTTGTTGAGAAGAGGCAGCTGAGTCATAATGTTGCCAAGTTCAAGTTTGCGCTCCCAACACCTACTTCTGCATTGGGTCTTCCAATCGGACAACATATAAGCTGCAGGTTTGGGTTCCTTGTTACCACTTTTGAAAGTGGGTTTGCAAGGTGCAGCCGTTAGTCTGAATTTCCTTTAATCTTACTGTGTTTATCCCCAATTGTTCCAGAGGACAGGATGCTGCTGGCGAGGAAGTGATCAAGCCTTATACTCCAACTACTCTGGACTCTGATCTTGGATCCTTTGAGCTTGTTATAAAGGTAAGTTTCAATAAGATGGTCTTTTTTTTTTCATTTCCTAATCATTCCATCTTATCTTCAGTTGTGTTTTATGCATCTTTGCCTCTTTGGTCACCAATGCAACTATTTGTTCACTGTTGTGTTTCACCACTTATTTTCTTTCTTGAAGATGTATCCCCAAGGAAGAACGTCCCATCATTTCCGTGAGATGAAAGTTGGTGATTATCTGTCTGTGAAGGGACCTAAGGTATCCTGTATCACATTATATTTTGTATGTTGATTTTGCCTGTTCCATGTCTGAACTTACACGCTAGACATGCTCAATTTGGTCCTTTCTCACGAAGCATATTTTGGCCTTGATTTTTGTTTTATCTATAATCTTCTTGAGTTACTGAGTATTATTAGGCATCACACTTGTCATTCTGTGGTTGTACACAATAATAAAAAAATGGTCCAGTTACCTTCTTACCTTCATTTTTGCTACATTGGAAAGAGGCGTTCACTTGTTTTGTGAGAGTGATACCTCAGCGTTTATTATAGTGCAACAAATGAACAAACAGCAAAAAAAACAAAAAAGAAGTTGTGCATTTTGAATGAAGTTGAATCGGAAGGTGTATTTTGTTAATGAAAACATACATAGCTCCTGGTATGCATTTTGGCCTTTCGATATTGAGATTAAATAAATGCTTCTCTAACCTAGGGCCGTTTCAAGTACCTACCTGGACAAGTGAGAGCATTTGGAATGATAGCTGGAGGATCAGGCATTACTCCAATGTTCCAAGTAATAACACATCGTCCAAAGTTCTTTATTATGGTATAGTTGAGATTTTTTTTTATTACTCAGCAGTGCATTTTTCTGTCTTACTATAGGTCACAAGGGCAATTCTTGAGAACCCAAAAGACAATACAAAAGTACACTTAATCTATGCAAATGTCACTTATGAGGATATTCTTCTGAAGGTATGCCTTTTATGCTGACAAACTTCATTGACTCTTAACCTGATAGCAGTTATATACCTGCATGTAAAAGGGTCTGGTTCAATTGATGGTGCCTATTTGGTGAGACACTGATATCATTACTCCCTATCTGTCCAGCTTACATTATGAATAGAAAACTAGTAGGCCTGGTTTCTGGGATATGGAAATAATCTTTGTTTTGTGCGATTATGTATCATATCATGAAGAGCAGAAACATGTCACAGAATACCACTCAATTTGTATTGTTCGAGTCGCGGTCTCCTCGCATTGCACAGGCGAGGGTAAGGCTTGCCACTAACACCCTTCCCCAGACCCCGCACAGAGCGGGAGCTCTCTGCACTGGGTACGCCCTTTAATTCTGCATATGCCCATATGTAAGCAGCACTCTTTTGTCGAGAAATAATTATGGATTTGTTCCTCCACAGTAAAACTAGGAACTCTTGTCTACAGTTCTTGTAGTCTGTGTTACTCTTATAGGCACTTGTTTGTATGCTAAACTGAACCATCGCAATAGAAGAAAATTTTCTGTTTGACATGCGTTTGTGCCACTGATTGGGCTTATGACGTTACATCCGTGATGAAATTGCAACTCGCTATTATCATACAGTACGGTATCGTTTTTGTGTGCTTACATTTTGCTTGATGCAGGAAGAGCTTGACAGTATGGCCAAAAACTATCCCGATCGCTTCAAGATCTACTATGTCTTGAATCAGGTCTATTTCTATTCTAAGAATTAGTAGTTTGGCCAGTCACCTGTCATTAGTTGATACCCTATATTTCACACATCCGCGTCTTACTAAATAGGCATTGTTTCTGTGCAGCCTCCTGAAGTCTGGGACGGTGGTGTCGGGTTCGTGTCAAAGGAAATGATCCAAACTCATTGCCCAGAGCCTGCTGCTGACATTCAGGTAAGCTTTCCAGTTACTGAAAGCACTTGCTGGAACTTGGAAGCCATCAGTTTTGCTCGGTGAAGTCAGACACTAGGGGGGTTTCCGTTTTCAGGTATTGCGATGTGGCCCTCCTCCCATGAACAAAGCCATGGCTGCGCACCTGGACGATCTCGGCTACACGAAGGAGATGCAGTTCCAGTTCTAAGCATTCTCTCTACCAATACCAAAATAAACGGCGATGGAACATGTTTCTTTGCCTCTTTGAGTAG